ATAGTCAATAAAGCAGAAATAGATGTTTTTCTGGAACTCTCTTGCTTTTTCAATGATCCAGCAGATGTTGGCAATTTGATCTCTGGTTCCTCTGCCTTTTCTAAAACCAGCTTGAACATCTGGAAGTTCACGGTTCACATATTGCTGAAGCCTGGCTTGGAGAATTTTGAGCATTACTTTACTAGCGTGTGAGATGAGTGCAATTGTGCAGTAATTTGAGCATTCTTTGGGATTGCCTTTCTTTGGGATTATCTCCCAGCAAACAACTCAATTTTGTAGAGTACAGAGGCAGGTCACTGAGCCTGTAACACCTAGTTGCCCTTATCTGCAGTTAGATTCTTTCTGCCCTGCTGGATTGTAAGCTGTTTGATGTTTCATTGCCTTATATTTGGAAGGTCTAGTCTAGTATCTTCACTTGGTAAATGCTCAACAAACATTTGCAGAATGAATGAAAACAACAAAACAAAGACAAAAACAAAAAAACCATAAATAGTTGAAAAATCAAGACTAGATCAGGGCCGATAAATTATAAAGGACCAAGGGTTAATACTGACTATGGTAATAGTAAGTTTTACAAAAGAAATTGTGATAGTAATTCTGAAGTAGGCTCAATACTATATACAAGACTGCATATGAAATGTTGCTTAAAAAGTAAAAGAAAAAAGTTGTGGTAGGCATATATAATGGAATATTACTCATCCATAAAAAGGAACAAAATTGGATTATTTGGAGTAATGTGGATGAACCTGGAGTATGTAATACAGAGTGAAGTAAGTCAGAAAGAGAAAAATATCATATATTAATGCATATATATGAAATCTAGAAAAGTGGTACTGATAAACCTGTTTGCAAGAAGGAATAGAGATGTAGACATAGAAAATGAACTTGTGGATGCAGCAGGGGAAGGAGAGGATGGGATGAACTGAGAGAGGAGCATTGACATATATTGTGTGTAAAATAAATATTAAGAGCTAGGGGGAGACTGTTGCATAGCACAGGCAGCTGTTTGGTGCTTAAGGGTGACCTAGAGGGGTGGGATGGTGGGGGGAAAGGGAGGCCCAAGAGGGAGGGAATATATGTATACTTAGAGCTGATTCACTTATAGCTTATAGTAACTAACACAACGTTGTAAAGCAATTATCCTCCAATTAGAAAAAAAGGTAAAAGAAGAGAAAATAACTGACATCTTCAACATAAACTAATTATGACTGAGCTTTGCAATGGAGCACAAAACAGCCAATAAGAGGATAAAGTAGGTTTCTGCATAGTCACAAAGAAGGTGATTGCAAAGATACAGGCTGAATGGTATGTATTGTATGATACTATGATCCCATTTTAATTGAATATGTATGGATATGAATAGAGGCTAATTGCAGAAGGAAGTACAATCAATTGTGCTGAGTAATTGTCTCCTAAAATTGATTACAGTAGTTGTGGAAGAAAGAGGAGCCATGTCTTCTCTTTCTACTGTACTATTGTAGATTATTTGATTTTTAAAAATTATGGGAATATATTCATTTTTTGATTTTCAGAAACACTAAGGCTGTACCAATTTCGATAGTTTGATATCATCAAGTAGAATTCTCCATAGTCATGTGCAATTGTAAATATAATTTTTAAATGATATATACATGTTTAATTTTTCTTTGTCATTCAAATACTGTTTTAATAATCTTTAAATTAAGAGTGCAAAAAAGGTAGGAGTTTTCCTGTTTTGTATAGGAGATATTGTTTTAACAATGTAGGATATGTGGGTGTGACGTGGGGGCTGAAAAATGTATGTTCCTAAGTGAGTAAATAAGAGGTTGAAAGTGAAGCATGTAAGTAAATGACTATTAAAAGCAGAATTTGCTACTAATAAAAGATGCTTGTTATAAGAACTGTTGTGCAAAAGCTAGTTTTTTTGACCACACACAGTAGGATCAATAGGAATTGGTTGTTGTGATGTTTGCTGTAACATCATATGGATCACTGAAAAGTGGCTGAGAACCTTAATGTGTATGTTTTTTATTATTTGAAGGCAAAGGATGTCTTAGAAGCAACTGTGAGGACCTACCATTCTACAGAGTGTCCAGGATGGGCCTTGATAAGATTGATTTACTAAGGAAAAATAGTCAATAAACTAGTCTGAGGGGTTCTTAGATTTATGCATGAGTGATGGAAACAGAAAATTTAGGGGAGCATTCCAAAAAATTCTTCACTAAAGCTGCTTTCCATGTGGCTGCCAACAAAGTCAGATTCTTAGACTAAATTCTCAACAGCTCATGGCGTGTGTGTGTGTGTGCTCAGCGGCTCAGTGTTTGACTCTTTGCAGCCCCATAGCCCACCAGGCTCATCTGTCCTAGAGAGAGAAAGAAAAAACAAAAGAGAGAAAGACAAAATACATGTGTATAAGTCATCCTGAAAACTGTTGAGAAGCTTTCTGATCAGTGTTCTCAGGTCTAGCATTTCAAGAAACA